CTCTGAAGAGATTGCAAAAGACCGTATGTGTTTCCAAGCAGTATGTGGAAAGATATGAAGACTGAATTCCACAAGCACCACTTGTATCAAAAAGTTGCAATCAGATGTTGATGCTGTTGCTGTCATTGTGATACCCTTTTGCATACCTTTCCACATACTGCTTGGAAACACATACGGTCTTTTGCAATCTCTTCAGAGTGCTGATAGGCCCTCATATACGAAGTTTGGTAATTTTTGAACAAGTCCGAGGTACTCATTTTAATTATTTTTGTGTTTTTTGCTCATTTTCTGGTCTTTCTCTAATACCATTTCACCCAGGCATTGGAGCCTCATCTGTCACTACTGAAATATGCTAATATACATTATCCTGACCCAAACATACATTTGAATGGGTGCAATATGCAGATTTGGTAAGTATTTACATAGATACTGATGTGGGGGACTACCTCCCCCTTCTCCTCTTAATAACTTTACACAGATATGCTCCATTGCCCTTGCAAGTACCTCATTCTGTTTCTATGCATTTATTGTCAGCTATCATGGCCTTACATGTGCCAATATCTCCCATCCTGGAGGAAAATAGAATATTTCAGCTTGTGGGAAATCGGTCAATAACCCAGCTTTCAGGCCATATAAAATTATGATAAAATCTGTTAAATTCATGAATAAATATGTGGTGCTCACATATATACCTTTTGGACCTTCCGAGCTGCGTTTAATGGGGTATCTGCAGTGGGTCTCCTGGTGTTCCTATACCCCCCCCCTCAGATCTACTACATCCAGACACCCCCTGGCATTATCAATGGCTCCACTTCTCTCATACATGTATTTCATAATTTTTGACCGACTCAAATGGCCCTAAATGTGCCTGAGGATGCATGGGTGCACCATGCATTATAGTAGCCAAAATCACATTTGTCATATCTCAACGAGTTTTCACCTGTTTCACACAATAGAAGGGTCTAAAGGAAGTTATCAATGTATCCAACATTTCACTCAGCCAACACTAAGCGAAGTAATGTGAGGGGAAGCCAGAATTCTGCACAGATGTGCAGGCATCAATATTCTGCCTAATTGGGTGAAGCGCATCAAATCCCACTGTGCACACTATTCCCTGCCTGTTTCAGAGTCACTTCTGCATAACAGATGTATTTATAAAGACATTTGTGAAGCGCGACGAAGTTCTTTGAGTCTGAGATTGGTTAAAATTTTTGTAATGTATTTATTGCAAAGTTACCATTCTTTAGAAGTCGGTCAATGGGCACTGGGTGTGCCGTCCCCGACATTGGCATTATTGATGCTTGGCATGCCGAGGCCCAACTGGCCATTTTGTCGGCATGCCGTGTATGCCCCAAGACTGTGTCAGGACTGCATTGCCATGCCTGGGGATTGGTGATTGGGTGCTGATCCCATGCACCATTCTTTCAGAAGTCGGTCAATGGGCACTGGGTGTGCCATCCTCAACATCGGCATTATTGATGCTTGGCATGCCGAGGCCCAACCGGCCATTTTATCGGCATGCCGTGCATGCCCCGAGACTGTGTCGGGACTGCCGATAAAGCCATGCCGGTTGATTCTTAGGCATTAGTTGGCAGAACGAGCGGGCCCGCTAGTTAGAGATCAGACGATACAATGTATATGTACTATATAAGGCAGGTCCGCTGGAGACCGCGCAGTGTGGTTGAGACAATACAATGTATAGGCCTGCTATATCGTATGAGACGATACGCTGTAGCTGAGGTATGTGAATACTCGAGATGTTTGGGCTGGGGAATATCCTGGCAGTGATGCGCTCTTCAGAGCGCCAGCCTTACTCGGCATGGGAGGTGCCAGTGCACACGGCAGGCTCAACCAGCGGGGCTTTGCCGAGAAATTGTGGGGTTGGCCCACTAATTTTGGGCTTGTGATGCAGCCACGGACCTGAATTTTGGAGTGCAACCCAATAGGATGGTTGATGGGAGATTTGGGTCGTCCTAATGCTGGAAATATCATGTGAGAGGCAAAAGCCCCACAGTGAGGTATACATGCTGGGTTGCAGTCAGCTAGCAAGACTCGATGCCTGTGTCCATTATGGCAGAGCAGTTCGACAATACAAAAGATATGGGTTGGTGGTGGAACACACACAAAGGTGCCACTTGGGATTCAACAGAGAGTCATGTGAAGCATATCTGGTGGCTTTCAACGCTTCCTCTGTTCTCATCCACTACTACGCATACTTGTTCAATGCTTGACACTCCGCATTCCAAAGACCAATCTCACCTTCTTTACCAATAACAAGTCTATCATGTTCTACTCCGCTCTCATCTTTCGCGCCCTCGCTGTGAGTGCTCTTCTTCTGCTTTCGAATCTTAGACTGAGAGCACTCAACAGCTAACTATGCAAGTCTGGCTTCCAAACATAATTTGAACCATCTCTACTATACTGATGACGAAGTTAGTGCCTTTTCCTTCTTTCGGCATTGATGTTGAAGACTTAATGAATTCATCTAGGGAGGAATATCGCAAATTCCTTCGATTCTCCAGTTGCTTTAACCCTCTGGTGGCATTGGTTTTTGCAGTGGCAAGGGCCATAGTCATTTTCCTGGGCAAGGATATAGAGACAGTGGTTGGCAAGATATTGGTCTCAAAGCATTGTATGAGGGGTGTGCAGGAGTTGGAGGGTTGTACGACTGCCCTATTTGCCTCATGGATGCGGGGCACTATATCTTCAAACCTGAGAGCCTGCCTCCAGCTTCTTCATCATCCACCTCATCGACGACCTCCCCGTGAGACTCCCCACTCCTTGCATTCTCTTTCCTGACTGATAAAAAATCTAGAGATGCTTCAGCGTCCTCCCCTGGCCCTCAACCGCCCATCTGCCACCCCATCCAATGCATGTGGGATGGTGGCATTTGTGGCAATGTCATTGACGTCGATGATTGGATGAACAATATGATCCTCCAGCACTTGCGTGAGAAACATGTGCTTGGGAAGGACAAAATAGGGAAGGCGGACTTGACATGCAAGTGGGTGAAGGGTGAAAAGACCTGCGATGTGCTGTTGATGACGAGAAACCTGAAGCACCACCTCCATCGCAATCCGAAAAAGCACTAGACAACTTTGGTGGTTCAGTGAGTTGATTTCAAGGAAGATTTCTGCTTAGCTTATTCCCTTCTTTATCCCCTTCCCATCAATTTGAATTTTGTGCTGTATAGTATTGATTGGATATGATCACAAACGTGTATTTTCATTCCGAATAATGAAATCCATTCTTTTTGAACAGGTATTCATCAGCCCCAGTGAAGCATCTTGATTGTGAGCTCATGTTTATTTAATGCTGATGCCCTTTATTCTAAATGTTTGGGCCAACAACTACCAGGACCTGCTCGACCATGACAACGATGCAAAGCTGTTTGCACGAAATGAAACAAAAGGGTCCAAACAGATTCATTGTCAGTCAGGTCGTGCATGCTTTCTTTGTCGCTTCAAGGGACTCTTTGTCTATGCCACCAAATTGTATCCTGTATTTAAGGGAGCTAGTGGCGGGGTGATTCCCCAAGCTATGCACTCGCCCTCAGGTCTCGTTCACCTTCTCATGCGTCGATGCAAGCACATCGACCCTTATTTCAATTGTATGTTATCTCACCCTAGCCGTTCTTCAGGTTGACGTCGTACAATGGTCCTGACATTGCGTCTGTTAGGTATGGATGCAGTCCAGCTTCTCTATTGTGTGTTCCAGCACTCATATGGTGGGTTGCTTTGCGTTGTATATATATGGATGCATTTTCCTGGGTACTCCATCACAGCGGCGGATGGAGGTTCAGGGTCCGCTAGGAGAGGAATCCCTGTATGTCAATGGGTTGCTCATTGCAAAGACTCCAAATACTCACTATCTTGTCTGAAGCTCTACTGGCATGACTGCAGACAATGACGTCAACCTGCTACCAATGTATGTCCCTTTCGTGAATTGTTCATGCCCCAGCTAAGCCCAGTTCAAGTTACAGGCCACCAATGTCACACCCTTCCACTCCAGCCATCGCCTCCACAGCACCGCAGCACAGCATTATCCTGGTTCACTGCAGGTGGAGAACCGGGCATTGCTCGGAAATGATCAATGTAAACGAGAGTGTTGGACCGCTCCTGGATCATCTCAGGAAAGTGCATGGCGTTATTATCGAGGACAACAAGGCTGCTCAAGTTCGGTGCAACTGGGCTGGGTGCGACACACATACTCCTATTCAAGCCCAGAATCTCCTCAAGCACATCAAGGTCTGCGGACATATCCACAGTCAGAATGCGACTGCAACATACAGCAACGTCAAAATCACCCTTCCTCACTCGCGCCGTCCTGCCGTGGAAAGGAAACTGCTGGAGGAGAGTTGAGTGACCATTGACTGCTGTGAACGTCCATCCCCGATCGTTTCACCTCATATCAAATTCTGGTGGTTCAACCTACCCAAGGCTGAAATCCATCAACAGGCTCTCCTCGAACAACTCATAGCCACCATACAGCCCCGAGTTCAGGCTGACCCCATCACCAAGTTAGTGTTTCTCATGACTCTCAACATCGAAGGCTCACAGCTGATCCAGCGACAAATTTGTGGAAATCTGCAGAGCCGCCCACTGCTCGATGGAGCTGTGGATGGGCCTGGCATATTCCATCACAAGGGCAAGGGTTGTTTTTCTGGGAAAGACTATCTGGGATACCGTGCTTGATGTGCTATTGATGAAGCACAATGATGACATTTGTGAGCATGTTGGCAGAGAATACAATTGTCCTTACTGCAAAGTGGGCATGGATCGACAAATTTCATCCCCTGAAAGTTTCGTGTCTTCTTCAGTCTCATCCTCTTATCTTTCCATTTTGTCATTGCTTTCTGCTTCTGACAAGTCATTTAGAACCACCCCTTGGTTGGAGGACATTGGATCGGTTGATGTATCCCACATGTTGAACAACCACTTATGAGAACAGCCCCAACAAAGATGACCATGACTATCTGCAAAACCACCACTATGATCCAGGTGACCCTGACCCAGAATTTCTGGAAAGTTCATCAACGGGAAAGCAGCGACGTGCAGATGAACAGGAGGACGTTGCTACCAAGCTGGCACAATCACGGCAGAGGATGGACGTCGTGCAAGTTACAGCTGCCAAGTAAGTTCATATCGCTATTGCATTGCTCCAGGGTGCTGAGTGGTAGCAGCTAGCTTGACAGGTCTCCCTGCGGCGAACTCGGTGCCATCTTACATGTATGTTCGCTTCAAAACCTCCAGAGCCATATTGCTGAATCTATTTTCATACAGGTGGAAGGACGTGAGGCACAAAGCGATGGGTTTCCCAACCATCTCTACTACACCAATGATGAAGTGAGTGTCTTTCCCTTCTTTTGGTGTTGGCATTGAAGACTGATCGAATTCGTCTGGGGAGGAGTATTGCAAATTCCTTTGATTCTCCAGCTGCCTGATCCCTTTGGCGGCATTGGTTTTTGCAGTGGCAAGGGCCATAGTCATTTTTCTGGGCAAGGATATAGAGACAGTGGTTGGCAAGATATTGGTCTCAAAGCATTGTATGAGGGGTGTGCAGGAGTTGGAGGGTTGTACGACTGCCCTATTTGCCTCATGGATGCGGGGCACTATATCTTCAAACCTGAGAGCCCGCCTCCAGCTTCTTCATCATCCACCTTGTCGACGACCTCCCCGTGAGTCTCGCCACTCCTTGCACTCTCTTTCCTGACTGACACCAAATCTAGAGACACTTCAGTGTCCTCCTCCAGCCCTCAACCGTGTGTCTTCCACCTTGTCCAATGCATGTGGGATGGTGGCGTTTGTGGTGACAGTATCTTATTTCAAAACTACATGTAGACTGAAATATTGTTAGCGACTGGAGAGTGTCCGTTTTATTTGCTTTCTCCTATCCCATCTTGTCATTCCCCGGCCCATAGAATTGTCTGTCAGACTACAGTAGACTTCTGAGATTCCACTGAAGTAAAATTATCCCTTCTTCCAGCTTGCCCTTTGATTGCAGGTGTTGTGGTTGTGTGCCAGAAGAACAGCAGAGGACGAAGAGGCTATGGCGATGAAGGCAACAAGAGGCCGACTCCAAACATCATCGTCTCACAGGCAAGGAATGGGGTAAGGGATTCAGACAGTTGATGGTAGGAGGTAAATAATTTTTGATTACCACGTGACTTAGTTCAAGAAATAAACGAGCAAGGAGAAGCTATAGGCTCCTTCGACATCTAGTGGCTCTGTGGCTCTGGCCAGGAGTGGAATTCTCTTCAGTATTTTCTCGTGCCTAATAGAACTGCGAAAGGTGGATGTTGGGGTCCTCAAGCCTGCAGAGTAGGAGTTCCGTCTGCTCAAATTTATCTCAGAAAAAAAAATGCCCAAGTAGACTGCATGCACGACATGATGCAAAGCGGTCGAACCCATTGCATGAGTTGGGAAGCGACAATAACCCTGGCTCAAACTTGAACAATGCTAATCAGGCGGCTTTGAAGACCGCCTGTTTTCGCGAGCTTTGCCACGGAACGAGGCACACATCATGGCCAAATACAGGACTTGTAGACTTAAGAAACAAATCAGAACATATTTAGCCGTGAAATAGAATGGTAGCCCCTTACATCTGCCTTCCTTTTGGATGACAAGAAAAGTCTTCGAAAATACCATGCAGAAATTCTCCTCAGGCCATCAGGCCACTTTGCTGGTAGACCGAAACTGCGACTTCAACTGTTAAAATGAGGGTGAAAAATCCATGCAAATTCTGGATTTTTGACAATTCCCCCCACTGTGGCGATTGTCTGACCTTAAATTTAGCAGGGGAACGTGCTGCAGTGGTCGAATGAATTCAGCCATGTAAGCTAGAAAAATATAGAATACAAGGCAGTTTCCTAACTATGAATCTAAGCCCTGGAGGGCAATATGCTATCTTCCGCTTTGGGAAGGCTCTCCTAATAAGAGGGAGGGGTTGCCGGGTGCCCGGCATCTGCAAGGGTGATGAGGAGAGGGTAAATAAATTAGTAAGCATCCATTTCTGGGGTGGGTGGGTGGTGAATGAGCAAGGGCGGTGGGATAGGCCAAGCAGGACCCCGGGGCACTGCAGAGAACTTGTCATGTGACCTGTTTGCTCTACAGCCTCAACTGGGGCCGTTTTTTGTGAAAAAAGTGCCCAGGGCCAATGTGATAGTATGTTCTTGGATGTCTAAAAAAGAATTGAGAGAATCTGGTATTGGGAAGGGGGTGAAAATGTGTTTACCCAGTGCCAAAAGTAAACTGAGCCCCAGCTATTTGAGTTCCTGGATGCCAAATCCAGTAATTCTGTCTATTTATACATTGCTGGCGCATTTCGGGCTCGTTTGGCTTGCCCCCGGGTGAAAATTGATGGGAACGATGACGCGATAATTTTGAGGGCATTCATAGCTACCTGTAGACACCAAGAACGTGGGAATACGACCATTTTTGGCGATGTTATGGCCTAAACTGTGCTTCTATGCACAAAAATGCGAAAATGCGCACCTAATGCTCTGCCTCTCATGCATCCCTGCCTCATAAAAACTAGCCGATAATTTAGTATGCTGCTAGAGCTTTAGAACGAGCCAATAATAATGGTCTTGCATGCATTATTGGTTATGCAATGGGCCTTTCGATGTTTATGTGCTAAAAACTGAAAAAGCGCACTCAAATCTCTATGCCATACATGTATCTATCCTTTCCAAAAATTATGTGTTCAGATAGAGGTTATTAAATGCTACAAAACACGCTATTCAGCATTTCCATGCGTTCATTTGTTCCAAAGATATACCCAGCACACTCATCATCCCTCAATATCACAAAAAGCGAACTTCTGTATCTCCTCCAATTCTTACTCAAGGCCTATAGAACTTTTCAGTCAGTCTCACCCAGTGACCTAGTCACTATTTTCCAATCACATAGCATGGTATAGACTCCCCTTTAATATAATATAAGCACCCCTTCCTCCTCCCCCTGAAAAGCCAGAAATGCGCCCTCTATTTCCCATTCCCCAGGCTATTTGTGTGAGCTGTAACATATATGCATATAAGTAGTAGCAATATGAGTACCTCCATGCAAGAATACAGGAGTTAATAATGCCAAATGCACTTGCAGTGGCCAATTTCGGGTTTTCTACCTATAACCACCTTGTTTGCCCCATGGGATGCCCAATTCTTCACCAATCTTCAAGAGGAAACATGTCCCAGGATCGGAACAATCTCCTCTTTAAATTCCAACATATCTGAGACGACCAATGTGACACCTTAGATAACATAAAAATCAAACTGATTGCCACTTTTAAGGAGATCAAGGATATATATAATTAATCAGACAATGCAGAGACATTCTACTGACTACTTCTAAGTGTCCTCAAGAAGTTCTATTGTGATTGGGTCATTGTGGAAGGCAGAAGATCTGAAATGAACCTCAAACAGACTGGTGATGAGTGGTGATCACCATATTGCCTAGTTTGTCAAATGTGTTCACCCCGGAAACTGGAGGTAGTATCATTGCTCACACCTCTGAGAGGGGTTTACAAACACCTGATAATTACTCTACTCTTTAACATCTATTTTAAACATATTTTTACGAAATTCTAGAGCAAGGATTATACCTCCAATCCGAGGTAGAATCTTGGAGAGGGCAATTGAGAAGGCAGAAGGACAGTTGCATGAATAACATATTCAGTTCTTATTCAATTTGGGTTGGACTTTTTGTAGATCACTCTAACAGTAGTATAGTAAGTATTCTGAGCTATCCAATGAGATTTGGGGCACTAGAGGACATGCCAGAAGGATGCCATGTCCACCATCAACATTGTGGGAATCCCCTGGGCAAGAAGGAGGAAGTGTCTTTGGTAATGGAATTGGGGTGTTTCTACACAGTCTTGAGGGAAGAAAAAGAAGGGAGGGTGATAGGATAGTGTTCATATTATGTTGGAGTGACAGGAATAACCCCAGCTTTGCTTGAAGGGATATAAGAGTGCACATTTTCAATTTTTCTGGTATCTTGTGAAATGTCTTGGGTATATCTTTGGAACAAATGAACGCATGGAAATGCTGAATAGCGCGTTTTGTAGCATTTAATAACCTCTATCTGAACACATAATTTTTGGAAAGGATAGATACATGTATGGCATAGAGATTTGAGTGCGCTTTTTCAGTTTTTAGCACATAAACATCGAAAGGCCCATTGCATAACCAATAATGCATGCAAGACCATTATTATTGGCTCGTTCTAAAGCTCTAGCAGCATACTAAATTATCGGCTAGTTTTTATGAGGCAGGGATGCATGAGAGGCAGAGCATTAGGTGCGCATTTTCGCATTTTTGTGCATAGAAGCACAGTTTAGGCCATAACATCGCCAAAAATGGTCGTATTCCCACGTTCTTGGTGTCTACAGGTAGCTATGAATGCCCTCAAAATTATCGCGTCATCGTTCCCATCAATTTTCACCCGGGGGCAAGCCAAACGAGCCCGAAATGCGCCAGCAATGTATAAATAGACAGAATTACTGGATTTGGCATCCAGGAACTCAAATAGCTGGGGCTCAGTTTACTTTTGGCACTGGGTAAACACATTTTCACCCCCTTCCCAATACCAGATTCTCTCAATTCTTTTTTAGACATCCAAGAACATACTATCACATTGGCCCTGGGCACTTTTTTCACAAAAAACGGCCCCAGTTGAGGCTGTAGAGCAAACAGGTCACATGACAAGTTCTCTGCAGTGCCCCGGGGTCCTGCTTGGCCTATCCCACCCCCATT